TGTCCTTTTCACCCCAGGATGTAGAACTGCTGAGTTACTTAGTTAAGCTTCTAGACTCCTCAAGCTGACACAGTGTATCAACCATAACAGTTAAAGAGGAAGCCAAAACTTCCCCAAAATGAGGAAATGGGGGGTGGGGTGGGGCAGAAAACCAGACTCCCAGAGCGAGAGGTGAAGAGGGCCCAAACGAGGTGGCCCTGACCTTGAGGACGCTGGCAGAGGAGAGTACAGGCTTCAGAGGAAGCTGAAGGAAGCTGAAGTGAGCTGGGCATGGTGGTGCACGCCTGGAATCCCAGCACTTGGGAGGCTGAGGCAGGAGGATCATTGCAAGTTCAAAACCAGCCTGGGCTACAAAGCGAGCTCAAGATCAGCCTGAGTTACATAGTGAGACCCTGTCTCAAAATAAAAAATAATAAAAAAAAAAAAGCGTGAAAATGCAGGAAGGGCTGGGAATGTAGCTCAGTGGTAAAGTGCTTCTGTGTTTGATCCCCCGTACCACAAAATAAATAAATAAAAATTTTTTTTGAAGAGGAGAGATTTATTTTGGCTCATGGCTTTGTGCCATGGTTGAGGAGCTGCATCTGATGATACTGTTTTAGCTGACAGGATCCTGAGATGAACAAATAAATGTTAAAAATTTAATATACAGGAGAGAAATAAAAGCAACCATTTAAAAAAAAGATAGAAAATAATAATAAAGCACTAGGGAACAAAGGCAAACTTCTGGGGATATTACTATGAGAGAGAGAAAAGGCAAATAAACGATGGTGTGGAAGAGGAGGAACCTCTCAGAAACCTCAACTTCCCCTCATGAATGAGCCCACGTAAATAAATCTGAAAACCTCAATAGAATGGACAAATCCCCAGAGAAAACACAAACTACCAAAAGAAGCAAGAAACACAAAACCCAGGTACACTAATAAATACGTATTTTTTAAAAACCAAGCAAACCGATCTCAAACTTTTACAATCATACTGCGTATTACATTTCTACCCAAGTTTTAGGGTGTGACTGATGCAAAGCTTCAGATCAGCACCAAACATGAGCACAGGCCAGGGAGTTTCTGAAGCACTGTCTCAGAGATCAGGAAGAGGCGAGGTGCTCTTTGCTAGCGGTGATGTTCGGTATGCCGTCACAGGTTCTGACTCATCGGCTTAGGAAAGGGGAAGAAAGGGAACAAGAGAAAAGGGGAAATTGCTCAGGTCGTAGGATTTTCTACAGAGAAGAGAAGATAGGATGAAGCCCGATGAGCAATATGTCTGATGGTCAGAGCAACAAGAACTACCTTGGCAATAACAAGCAAGAAAAGATAAATTTTAAAAAGTACACTATGTATAGGCCGGGGGACTGCTCAGCGGTAGAGAGCTTGCCTAGCATGTGTGAGGCCCCAGGTTTGACTGCTAGCACAGCCAAAGAAATACACACACACACACACACAGAAGGCTAGGTGCAGGGTGCATACCTGTAATCCCAGAGCCCTGAGAGGCTGAGGCAGGAGGATGCAAGTTCTATCCCAGGAGCCTTCTTTTGAAATCTAGCTGGAAGCCCCCCAGGCCCCATGTGGTCCTTGTTTCTCAGGTATGCAGAATTCAACACCTCTGGTCTCACTTTCTCCAGGTCAGCTTACAAATGGCTGCTTCTGGAGGTTGCACGTCTGATTCCTTGTCTCCCACCAGCTTCCTGCTGGTGACACTCGGAATGTGGTCACAGAGACTTCCCAGGAACCCGAGGGCCACTTGTGCTGAGGATGCTGACCTTCTCTTGGGGCTACAGATGTCCAGCAGTGACTGAAGCGGGGTGAAAAGCTGGGCACCTCTGCCTTCCCACTGGGCCTGTGCCCTTTGCTGCCTTTGCCCTTGAGTCAGATTCTGCCCAGCTCTGCACAGAGACAGGTGATCATTTCAGAAGAGCCTCACCCAGGTGCACAGCACAGGCGGAACCTGGTCAGGTCTGTCGCTTCTCGCAGCTGTGCTGTAGCTGCCAGGTGCTTGGGCTTTTTCAGTAGCTGGAGCACTAAAGTCCATCAGCCCCATCCTAAAGCCGGGACATCTATGCCGAAGATGTCACCAGCGGTAGGAGTAACTCAGCAGTTCCTCAGCAAAGCTGACCCCCTGGCCTTGACCACTAAGCACAAGGCCAGGGTGTTTTGTAGGGGGTGATGGTACTAGGTACAGGATAATTTGACAGTTTCTAGAACAAGTTGACTGTGACCACCCAGAGGCCCAAGGTCATCTCAAGAAGAAATGTCGGCAGGGCATGGTGGTACATGCCTGTAATCCCAGCACTTGGGAGGCTGAGGCAGAAGGATCCTTGCGAGTTCGAGGCCAGCCTGGGCTACAAAGTGAGCTCAAGGCCAGCCTGAACTGCGTAGCGAGACCCTGTCTCAAAAAGACAAAATAAACAAACAAACAAACAAACAAACAGTGTCTCACTGTGTAGTGCAGCTGGCCTTGAACTCACTGTGTAGCCCAGGCTGACCTCCAACTCTAGGCGACCCTCCTGCCTCAGCCTCCTGAGTGCTGAGATTACAGGTGTATGCCACCACACCAGGCTCCAATGACCAGACTTTAACCCAGCTCACAGATCAACAAAAACCTGCTGCTCTTTCTGCTCTGTGAAGAGCAGTTTGGTGACCCTGTCAGCCTCATGCTTCTACCTTTTAGCTGAAGCCCCAAGTTAGCTGATGACCTGCACCCCCTACAGGAAGCTCTGCTGTGCAGGAGTTTGCACGCTTGCAGTATTTGGCCGAGCCTCGTGTCTACCATCTCTGTGTGAAAAGATCCCATCATCTTTAATCACTATCACCTTGGGAATAAAGATTCTAACAAATAAAACTGAGAGAGCATCTTCATCAATTTCCTCATAGCTGAGACACAACTCCTCACACAGTTTAAAGGAGGACAGGTTTACTTTGGCTCACAGTTTAGTCCACAGTCAGTCAACTTCAAGTCAGGAACAGGATCACAGAAAGATCTTGCAGAAGGATCTGCTCACACCCTGGTGGCCAGGCAGCAGAGAAGAAAAGGAGGAGTTGATAAGGGAGGTAAAACTCTTCTAGGTCACAACCCTAGTGACCTGCAACTTCCAACCATGCCTCCCCTTCTGACAGCAATCACCTGCCAAAAGCCCCACCTCTGAGCACATGAGGCCTTTGGGAGACATTCTAGATCAAACCACAACATTCCAACTCTGGCCCCCAAAAGACTGATGTTCATCTCATTATGCAAAATGCATTTAGTCCCTCTCTGAGAATCATCAAAGGTTTAACAGTTCCCACACTGCTGAAAAGTCCAAGTCCAAAGTCACCTTTGAAACTCAAGGCAAACTCTTAGCTATGGGGTCCTGTGAAAATCAAAAGGAAGTTAAACACTGCTGATATGCAAAATTACAGGGCAAACATTCCCATTCAAAAAGGGAGAAATAGGGGCATGGAAAAAGTAGGATCAAAGCAAGGCTGAAACCTAGCAGGGTAAGCATTAGATCATGTAGTTCCAGGTCCAGCACCTGGGGCAAGTGGGGTGAGATATGATCTCCAAAGAGTTTGGACAGTCCCACCCTTATGGAATTGCTGATAGATGTAGGCCTCATGGCCTCTCTCTTGGGACTGTCTTCTCTCAGCAGACCTCACATGTTCCTATCATCTCCAACCTTCTTGGTCTACATTGCATGTTCACCTTCCTTCTTAGCTTCACACATTGCCTGCTGAGAGGGACATGGCCTGGCCTCCAAGGCCTTCTTTTGAAATCTAGCTGGAAGCCTCTCTGGCCCCATAATGCTTGAATTCTGCATACCTGAGAAACAAGGACCACATGACACTAAGGTCTGCTGCCAGGTTGGACAGTATCTGAGCCCCCTTGGATCATGGCTGCAGAGACCTCTGAGTCACTGTATGGCTGAGTACTGTGAACAGAATCCTGGGGAACCATTCCCCAGATGGCCCTTCTTAAGAAGGATGCCCTGGAGTTCTCTTGTCAAAACGTCTTTCAAAGATATTTCCCTTTACCTTTTACACCCTTGGTCAAAAAATAGGTGTAAGGGGCTGGGGATTTAGGTCAGCGGCACAGCGCCTACCTGGCAAGTGCAAGGTCTTGAGTTCAATTCCCGGTACCAGAAAACAAAACAAAACAAAACAAAAAAACAACAAAAAATAGGTGTAGTCTCAGGCCAGGCATGGTGGCACAGGCCCATTGTCCCAGCACTCAGGAGGCTGAAGCGGGAGGATCTCTGCCAGTTTGACACCAGTCTGGGCTACAAATTGAGTTCAAGTCCAGCCTGAACTGCCTGGTCAGACCCCTCAAAAAGACAGAGACAGAGAGAGAGAGAGTCTTGTTGATTCCTGAGACGCCCTCATGCCATCTTTCTTATTGTTCTGATGCAAAGTATTTGTCTGCCTTTTAATGGTAATCTTTTCAGCAACCATATTCTTCTTTTACTCAGCTTTGCAATTGCTTCTTTTCTGGTAACACTGAAAACTTTTGAAGTGTGTTTTTTTTTGAGAAACAGCTCTAGTTTGTCAATGTAGATCTTGCTAAAAGCCACCACTAATACCCATGTTACAGCCTCAGTGTTAGCCTACCTTGAACTTTCCTCTGCCAGATTAATTAGTACACCCCCTTCATCTCATTCTCTGGCAATATCTTTGGATATGAGCAAATTTTTTGCCAGAGCCTGACACACATGGCGTCAATTCTGACTGCCAGTGGAGTTCTCATTCCCAACTGAAACCTCCTGACCCTGGCCTTTACTCTCTGCTTTTCTCACTGAATGATGATCTGCGCTCTAACCAGAATCTCCCATCAAGCGCTGCTTGCAGCTTTCTAGGGCGTTTTTAGCCAGCAGCTCCAAAATTTCCCAAACTCCTCCCACAAACCACTTTCAAAGGCTTCTAAACCACATGACCAGGGAATCATAGCAACGACCGGACTTCCCTGACACCAGAATCAGTCTGAGTCACTTTCCCACCCCTGGGGCACAGCATGTAACACCCACAGCTAAGTCACAAGTACGAGCATGAATAGTCCAGAACCCAAGGGATTCCTTCCGACTTCCATGCCCAGATATTAATAGAAAACAGTCACAAAGACAGGTAGACATATTTACATATAGATACACTAGGAATGAAGCTTTAGGTCACTTCACTGGGGGTTGGGGTTTGGATTTAAGGTGGGACCCCAAAGCGTCATGTGTTCAGAAGGTGATTGGATTTGGAGGGCAATAAAGCAGACTTGCTGGTAGGACGTGGGGTCCGCTTAGAGGCCGGCCACCGTGGGCATGAGCTGCAGGAGTCTCTCTCTTCCTGGCTCCTCCCTGGGCTTGCTGATTCCTGGGAACCATGAGGTAAGTGCCTTTTGCTCTGCTGTGCCCCCTCTCCCGCTCTGCTCCCTACCTGGCAGCCAGCCAGACATGGACTGAGACTTCTGGGTGAGCCTCCTTTCTGTTTTGGGTGCCGGATATTTTGTCCCAGCAATGAAACAGTGATAGGTTTTGTACCAGAGAAGTCTAGTCGTTGTTGTGATTGCCCAGCCATGTGTTTTAGAAGACCTTGGAACTGGTTGACAGGAGGAGTTTGG